ATGTACATAAAAAGACTACTTGAATACCTTTAATTAAATATTTTTAATTGAAATTTTTACTCAAGCAAAATTTCAATCCACTCACATTCAAATCAGTCTCGAACGTTTGTGTTTCTACCATGGTTTAGAAAATTGGGCCGGACCGTCTATTCCGACCGGTAGGACCAAAAATCTGTCAACTAACCGGTTCGGTTCACTAGAATCAACCGGTTCCAAAGAACTGGTCACTACGGGCCAAAAACCAGACCTGTCGTACTGGTTAAACCAGTATAGTTAAAATAAATCTTAATATATTTAAATAAGATAATTAAAAAATACATATTTAAGTATAACGAATATATATAAGTTATTATTAGTTAGTTTAAGTATTGAATGTTTTAAATTGGCTTAAAGTTTAATTAACAAAGTTTTTTATATGAATTTTATTATGTATTCAACAGACCAGTGAACTTTTAAACCAGTAGTTTAATTTGTTCGATGACCGGTTCAATTTTCAGAATCTTAATTTCTACGTCGAGTCGAACATCTCGAGTAAGACCGGCTCGTCGAGCAGGTGTTAAAAAGAATCGAGCATGACTCAACAGCTTGTTTTTCAGCCTAGAGTGATTATCAAAGTTATTATTTAAAGTGCCACTAAAAAAAATGCTTGAATCCATGCACAATGATTCCATCTAATTAGTTGACGAAACACATGGGCACAACTTATTTTGGTCCTCTTATTTCTTGCATAAAGATTCGTCGGAAAGCGTTACAAATATTTTTTGGCGTTTCCATTTGTGATAAAGGAAAAGGAACACGAATTGGCCGGTTTGGTGGGCGCCACCGGTCGGTGCCGGCCCGGTGCCGCCGCGCTGACTCAGATGGTGGTGTATATTACCCTTTTTTTGACCCTTTTCAAATCAGTATTAACATCTTTAAATAATTTCTGTCATGCTGTATTAATGAAAGTAAAAGTGCACTAATTAAATATTGATTATTTATGTCTATGTTAGATATTGTGTTATTTTTTTTTTAATTTTTTATTTTTTTTTAAAAAAAAGGGTTCAAAGCTTATTTTTTATTTTTGCCAATTTCAATGGTTGTGATTATTTCTCCACCAACTTTGTAACTTCACCTACCATTAATATGTAATAATTCCTATATACACATTTGACTATAGAAAAAAGGAATATATAAAAATCAAAAGTGGATTCGTGATATTTCAAATATTGCCTGTAGCACAATCTTGGCCTGAGCAATATTATTATTAAAAATTGTTAGAATTACTTCAAAATTAGTGTTGTTAAATTAAACGAGTTTGACTCGACTCAACTCGGCTAGAGTTCGAGGTCTCAACGAGCCGAACTCGAACTCATCTAAAGCTTAATAGGTTAATGAGCTCGGCTCGATAAGGCTCGAAAATTGAATTTTTGTATAATTTTTTATAGTTCGACTCGAGCTCGAGACCTTAACGAATTGAGCTCGAGCTGAAATTTTGGCTCGTTTATTTAACGAGCTCGACTCGTTAACAACTCTACTCCAAACCATAAAGCTTCTTGTGAGGCATGTCACATAAATTTGTATGCCCAATATTCATTCAAAATACTAGTGTCATATGACATTAATGAAATGTGAATTTATGATCAAGTTAATTATAACATAATATTATGAGGAAATGCTACTATCTCGTTACGAGATGGTTCCTTTGTCTTTTGTAGTCGTAGATATACATGTAATCTAATAGTGCGTAGATAATCTTTGTTAAAGAATACAACGGAACTTTCCCGTAACGTATCATTCTTCTAATATTATGTCCTTATTAAGTTGACTATCTGTTATTACTTCATCAGTCCACCTGCATCCTTCCAAGTGTTGGGAACTTTACAAGTTGTAAAAAAAAGTTGTGATCTATACAATAACTGACAATTTTGGTGATTGTAAAATAATACATATGAAATAAAGTAATAATGTATTGATCAGTGGCGAGTAATTTTTGTGATAATTGTAAAATAATATATAAAAAACCTCCATGCAAATAAATAGGAAAGGACTAAATACTTTATAAATGAAAAAGAGGAAAATAACTTAAGCCTATGAGTTGAGATATAAAATAATAATTCTTATTTTCTTTTAAGTCTTTCAATAACAAGTTGAAATTAAATACGGAAATATATAAAATATTAAATGATACATTATTCTCACGCTCTTTTATTTTTTTTCTTAATGTTAGCAACATATATTACAAAATATTTATTATTATTATCATTAATATCATTATTATTATTATTCATTTCCCTACTAATTTTACTATATATTTTTATGATTATAATCTTTCTCTATTATTAATTTAATTTTTTCTGAGTCTCCGGTGTAAAATTCTGGTGTCCTTAAATCTTATATGTCAATTTTTGTGATTCAATATCAGCCATGTTTTTTTGTTGTTGTTTTTTTTCAAATTATACCGAGCTATAAAATTTAAAATTATAAACCACATATTGAACTTAATTTACAAATGTATTTTAAGACTTAATAATAGTTATTACTTATTATTTGTTTTTCAATTAATATACATTAATTTTATTTTAACAAAATTCGTTTGACATATATATCGTATATATACAATATAAACATAATAAAAGTTATTTTAAAAAATTATAATAAAAAAAATACTTTTTTATAGTCAGATAGATTTATAATTTTGTCTTATTCATACACAATGAATTGTTTCACATCTCTCAATTTTTTTTTTTTTTCAAAATGAAACTGGAAGACAAATTGTTTCACATTCCTCCCTATATATTATCTATATATTAATTCAAAACGTGACAGATTTTCATGCATTCGAATGCTGACATGTCGAAAATCTATGCTTCGTGATGCTTTATATTTTTGCTCTGGAATTAAGTTTGGTATTAAACATAAATAATTTTACACATATATTCATTAATTCAACACCTAGTACTAATTAATTATTTAGAGAGAGAGAGAGAGAGAGAGAGAGAGAGAGAGAGAGTAAATGAATCTATATATATATAAACAAATTTACTATTTTTAAAAATGGCAGGTCAACCTTGTTCAATTTTTAATTAGCATTAATTACTTACCATTTTTAGTAATTTTGTTATTTTTTATTTTTGAAAAAACCTGCAGTGTTGCCTTTAAATTAGGAGTTTTGCTACATTTTTTATTTGAGGTCATTTGAATGAAGTTTAAGATAAGATGCATGATTTACGGTATGTTTCTATATTTAATTATATAATGTTTGTTTTTATTCAATTCATGATTATCTTTTCTAACAATTATGACTATCTCTTCTAAATTATAATTACTATTTCAAAAGTAATTTTTATATCCAATAATGTGAACATACTAGCTAGATAGATACATTAGTTAGTTGTTAATTTCTCAAATATTACAAATTAATCTATTCTATTAAATATATGGGAATGATAAGGATATCATATTTTTAAATCAATTAAATAATTATATTATTATTGTTAAACCTGTTGTGGACCTAAAGTATAAAATAATAATAATAATAATAATAATAATAAAAAAATATGATCAGTAGTGTCTAAGTATGCAATAAATAAAAATTTATCTAAAATAAAACTCACTTAAAAGTTATATTTAATTAATTTCTGTACTTTTTTCATACTTAACTCTGATAAATCATGTGGTTATAAACATAGAAGAAATATGTATATACCACACAAACTAAAAAGTGCATAAGTTGTTCTAAATAAATAATTTAAAAGAAAATTATCAAAATGTACAAATATAAATTTTACAATTATTAGTTGACATAATTGTATAAGTTGTTATGAAGAAATAATTGTATGCGTACAAAAAATCGTTTCACGGTAACTAAAAATAATAATATTTGTAAAATCTTTTATACTCAAATTACTTAAATAATAATCATAATAATTTTGAAATCCCATGTACTCAAATTTTTAGGTACCGTCATAATCATGTCAATATATATTTTGTATATACTATGTAAATTTTCTACCAAAAACTTTATAATGTTTTTATTTAAATTTATAATATTATAGATACTTTTATGTAATATTTTATCATGTCATACTCTTTTTCTTTTGGTACAGGGACCTTCCGGTTTCCGGATCCACAAGGGAACCGACTAATTCGGAATCGAGCTGGGTAGGACCACAAGGGCGGCAAAGCTCTCCCTCAAGAGTTTTAACACTGCTGCATTCCCAGGACTCGAACACGAGACCACTGGTTAAGCTGGAAGAGACCAGTATATACATATACATATACTCATATACATATACATATAAAATTTAAATATTTTTAAGAATGTTTTCTTTACAAGACAAAAAAGAAAGTTTATAAAACATCTTTTATACAAAAGTGAAAGTTAATGTTTTTAGACACGTTTTCTTTCCAAAATAGTTCAGAAAAATTGTAGGTGGTTCACATCTTTTAATAATAATATTAAAAATTTTAGATATTTTTACATATGTTAATATAATATTTGATGTGTTTGTAATATTTTAAATATACAAATTTTATGTACTTTTATACAAGCTAATTTTAGATTATTTATAATAAACCGGTATACGGTAAATTATATCAATATTAACCTCACATCTTTAATTTGTTTATCCTCATCTTTACTTTATAATATTTTTTCTTGCTCTTTTAAAGAATGATGATTTCCAACTTCTTTCATTGGTGACTCGAACTCAAGATTTATTTATAATTATTTAATATTATTTACCCGTGCATCGCACGAGATACGCATTACTAAAAACAAAATAACATTACAACAATTTGTAGAAAGTAGAATTCTAAATAAACCCTTTTTATTATATCTATCTTCCATCGATATAAATCTGCATTTATTATTATTATTATGTATGTATATGCACTGACCCCCATTTGAGATCGTCTGCTTCGGCCCTATTCACCTCTTTCCTCCTTCCGTTACCCGATCCATCTATCGCCGGAGAACCACTGCCGTCGATCGGATCTTATCAATTTCTCATATAAACATGGGTACGTCGTCGATCCAGTTCGATTTGAGCTGATAATTCAGTTTGTGTTCAGTAGAACCGTCAAATTGATTGAGCAGTTCAAATTAATTGTCAATGATTGCCCTGAGCTGATAATCAATTTGAGCTTAGTGCTTATTTGTTTTTTTTGTTTTTTTTTTTCCTTATCTTTTCTTCAGTTTCTGTTACTAGGCTTTAAAGTAGGTCAAGATGGTCTCTTTTTCTGTGTTGTCTTATTTGAAGACGATTCAGTTTTACTTGGTTTGATATCTTTTTCAGCATTAGGGGTTTCCTGGGCCTGATTTTTTAATGACAGTGGTTGAGTTTTTTTTTTTTTTTTTTT